TTCACTGGCGCTTTCTAGCACTCAAACCAACCTTAAAGACGACCTGCTGCAGAAGCTTCGTGAGCTCAGTTTGCTAAGGGAACAAAGCTCACGGGGGCCCGCTCGCACCCGGCAGACCTCTGCGTCTCCCGACGAGGGTGGCCCGACGAGGGTCCTTTGAACGGCAGAAGTGTGGGAAGAGGGCTGGGGTCGGTGCTAGGCTAAAGGGTAACCTAGCGGAGAACCTCACCTGGACCCCGAACACCAGCTTCATAACAGAGAAAGCCCAGCAGCGTCTCTATTCCCTGCGGAAGTTAAGGAAAGCTTATTTCCCACCCGTCATCCTTACCACCTTCTATAGAGGCACCATAGAGAGCATCCTCAGCAGCTGCATTACATCCCGGTTTGGGAATTGCACCGCTTTCGAATGCAAGACCCTCCAGCGAATAGTGAGGACAGCTGAAAAGATCATCGGGGTCTCTCTTTCCTCCATCACAGATATTTACACCACACGCTGCATCCGAAAAGCCACTAGCGTTGTGACTGACTGACCCCACACACCCCTCACACGAACTCCTCTGCCATCTGGAAGAAGGTACCGCAGCGTTCGGGCCGTCACAGCCAGACTGGGCAACAGCGTCTTTCAAAAAGCCATGAGATTCCTCAACTCCCACACGGACCCACACACACATATACATAACTCCCACACGGACCCACACACACACACGCATAACAATATGGGACTAACTCACTCCCCACTCCCACTTCTTGCAGTTCCAAATCATGAACACTGTATTTAAATATAGTTATTGCGTTTCACAGAAACACTTCACGTAATATGATTGTAGATCTGAATACTTGCATTTTGCACATTTTACTTCACTTGACTTGCTAACCTGACTTGCTGCTAGAATTACTGTTTTAACCAAATACTGTATGCTGTGTATTGCTGTTCTGATTGCTACCTCAGTGACTGCTATGCTCATATATGCTAGGCTCTCTTCTAAGCTGCTAATATGTCATAGTATGTAGCTCTGCGTTGCACAGCTCCACATACTCTCAGTACCGTGTTCTGCCTGTGTTCTGTTTTGTGTTCATTGTAAGTCTTTCATATTTATTTACTGAACTGTACTTGTGTTCCTGTGTTGGTCCTGAAGGAATGTTGTTCGTTTCACTGTGTACTTGTATGTAGCTGAAATGACAAAAAAGCCTGACTTGACTTGATGTTTCATATTTAGTTGTAGCTAATTTGACTAATTTTGACACAAAGTTAAGGCAGCTAGCTAACGTTCACTAGATTGTTAGATTTCATTAGCAGAACTTTTAGCTGTACGACCACCCTCGACTTAAAGTAGTTTTGGTATGTTTTTTTGTCATGATTTACAAGTTATTAGTGATAAACTAAATTCACTCTATTGGTTTAGTTCGATGTACATAGGCTACAGGTGCAAGTAACACTTAAAGTGCAGAAACAAGTTAGTGATCAATGAACCTGGTCACTAACTGCTGAGTAGCATCAGTTGTGTTTGAGCAGCAACATTGGTAAGCTTAACAACAGTTTACCACAGTGGTCACCGAGCCTGGTCCTGGAGATCTAGCTTCCTGTTAATGAGCCACACCTGGTCCAGCTAATTAGCTACTTCACAGGTCCTTGATAGGCTGAATCAGATGCAGCTGTGTTAGGTGAGGGTAGGGGACAGTATGCATCTACAGGTTGGAACTAAACTCTGTTTGCCAGAAAGATCTCCCAGAAGAGGGCCGAAAAAGATACCTCTGATGACTTTGCTTCAAAAAATCAAGAAGGCAGCAATGATGCACACACCACGTTCTCACACGCTGGCATTTACTTAGTCTGTCATTTTAGGGGGATGTCATCATTTTAGGTCGGGGTGTAGGACGATATTAGATATTAGAATGTTAAAACGAGCCGTTTACGTTACGGAGCTTCAAAGAACGATCTATGTAAACGTGCACGGTTCGGATTGGCTGTTTGGTCAGAAACACTTCTTATAACTTCAGGTCGGTGCTCTGACATCACGACAACAGTGAATTCAAAACAAGCTGTTCCTGCATAACTTTCATATATAAAAAGTGAGATGACGTGAGTTTAGCTCAGACATAGGCTCTTTTAGATTACGGGCCACGGTTCACACGCTGTTCCAAACTTCTCTGGAACTCTTACCGTCATTGAGAAGACTAATCAAAAATGCTTATAGACTTAAATAAAACTACTGGGCTGAATTTGCACCGTTTGTGTTCTTAGAAAAAGATGAGAAGGCTTCTTTTTTTGGTTGTGTATATATAAGGAACAGCTAGGTTGTAATTAACATAGTGCCTTAGAAGCATTTACCCTCAATGTGAAGACCAGCACTAAAATACTTACACAGTGTGAAACTGCAAACGAGCATCTGTCTGAAACGGTTTCGTGTTTATGACTATTATCCAAAAACCTATGGGCATTTTTCTATCTCTGACATTAAACCAAGCAGAAGGTGATCAGTACTTGTTGGATTTAAAGCCGCACCGTTAAACGGAGCTCAGCGATCGGTCGGTCAAATTCGGCTCTGTGCCCTAGGATCGTCGTTCGTGGCGACTCAAAAAATTAGCTTAATTAATATAACGCCATGTCAAGGAACGACTAAAAGAAGTTACCATCAATCTGAGAACCAGTCCTGAAACAGTCGCTTACGGTTTTACTTTCTCAGGGTTTCCAACAGAGAGCACACGTCTAGATCCCGTTAGAAAACCATGGGATGCATTTGCAATCAGCCACCTGTTAAAGCATTAGGAACATCTCAGTCTATGTCAAATCACGTTCTGGCCTTCATGGGCTTTGAGTCGTTAGAAGATCCAATTTTTGTGTGTGTCTTGGAATCTTCAAAACAAACCCCCCAAAAAAAAGGCTGCTGTGTGTGAAGCTTGGTGGCTTAGTGGGACCAGCCTTGGCCTCAGATGTAGGAGGTTGTGGGTTCAAGCCAAGAAGAAGGAGGGGAGAAAGGGAAGAGAAAAGAAAGAAAGAAAGAAAGAAAGAGTAGGTCAATTAAAGGGGCAATATTTTAGTCAGATCGCGAAGTAAATTGAGGGTCCAAGTAGGTAGAATTTTTGCATACCCAAAGGGTTAAGTGCAACTTTTTTTCCCAGCAAAATTCTGCATAACCCCCTCTTGTCCTCTCTCCTGGGCCCCAGGGGGGAAGACGGGTATACCTTCCCCCCTGGTTCTTGGGTTGCGCGCTCTGGCCTTCCTCACATGTCATGCATTGTACACCCTTCACCCTGTGTGTGTATCACCACCACCGTGATGTGAGGATCCTGCTCGGGATATGAACCGATAACCTCCAGACTGTAGAGGCAGGGCATCTACCAGTGAGCCACAGGATCTCACAAATGTCCTCCTTTTTTTTAACATTTGTCTTTGTTTTTGCCATCTTCGCTGATGAAGACATGCAAATGAAAGCCCTAAAGTGGGGCTTGAACCAACAACCCTCTGGTTGTAGAAACATGACTTATACCAGCAAGCCAAAGGGCCTACAGAGAGCCTCCTTTTTTTTTAACATTTGTCTTTGTTTTTGCCATCTTCGCTGATGAAGACGTGCAAATGAAAGCCTGAAAGTGGGGCTTGAACCAACAACCCTCTGGTTGTAAAAACATGATTTATACCAGCAAACCACAAAGCGTACAGAACAGTGCCTTTATTTTTTTGGACATTTGTCTTTGAGATTCCCAGGTTGTGCATCTACCCACATTTGGGCACATCTTGTGCCAGGATGATTTATGGAAGCGATGGTTCCAAAAGGCAGTTCCAGCTCTGGAGCTCTTACGGTAAAAAATGAAGACTGAATGCTTTTAGCCTTACAATAAACACTTGTAACAACACTATACTTTTTATGTTCCTGTTTTAGGAAGAGAGCTCTCAGGGAAACAGCAAATGCTAAGTAGCAGTAATGCTAACCAGTCGTCGCTCAGTATCCGGTAATGTCAGCGTCTGTTTGCTGTAGAAAAGGAAACGTACAGGTGAGGTTTTCTTCTGTGTTCTGTGTAAATGATTTGAAACAGTTTTAACTTTTCGATTTTAGCCGTTTAGCTCCGTTCACCCCCGTTCACTGAGGACCCGCTCTTGGGCACCCTCTGCTGTTTAGCAGTGATATTTTTTGAGATAAAGGTGGAAACTGGAAGAGACCAGACTCCTTATAAACCGGCTCTGTCAAACTTTGATTTGGCCATCCAGAAAGTTATGCCACTCCCTCATCCAGTGAGATAAGAAAAAAATGAACTATATTTGTATTGTACATGTAATTTACTATATTTACTCCAAATAGTACTGCTAAAGTATTTCAGTTACATAATATAGTGTAATGTTAGACAATCATGTTAAAATCTCAGTTTAAAACTATTTGTTTATTTTGTACTTTTGGGCTTTTTTTGTTGTTACCGCAAATACTGCATTTTGGCCCGACACGAAAATGACCGCTAGAGGGCGCTAATGAGCGTTTCAAGTTGAAAGTATAAAAAATGAAAGCGCTCAAAAACTGTTTTGCTCCTCATCGCCAGCAGATGGCGCAGTTCTGCACTGTCCCTCCTCATCACCAGCAGACGGCGCAGTTCCGCATTGTTCTTCCTCATCACCAGCAGATGGCGCAGTTACACACTCTCCCTAGAAACAGATCAGTAATCAGTGGAGTGGATATTCCTGTAATGAGCCACACCCACTGCAGCTAATTAGCTTCTTCAGAAGTGCCTGATTGGCTGAATCAGATGCATCTGTGTTAGCTCTTACCATACTATTGAAGGTTAGTCAAAAAATGCTTATGGCCTTAAAATAAGCCAGTGTGCTGGTTTATATGGTGTATTTAAAAAAACCCTGTCAAGACTTTCATCTGTGGTTTTTGGGTAAGAGTGTTATGTTACGGTGTAAAATATAAGGAACTGCTAGATTACAGATACTATGGTACCTCAGAAGTGTTTACCATCAATATGAAGCCTGGTACTAAAATGCTTAAAAACTGTTAAAGAGCAAATGCACATCTGTGTAAAATGGTCTAGAGTTTAATCTCCATGACTGTTACAGAGTCCAAAAAAACACTACTCCAAAAACACCTTTGTGTCTCTGACATTAAAATAAACAGAAAATGATAAACACAAATTAAATTGAAAATTTCAAACTCCAAACTCCTTTCTTGGTTGGTCAATCTTGGTTCGGTGGCCTAGGATTCTCATTCATGGTGACTCAAAAATTTGCAAAATTACAATATAACCATGCTAAGAAATGACTAGAGGTTACCATCAATTTGAGAACTAGTCCTGAAATAGCTACTGTTCATAAGAAAACGTAAGGCGATGGAGACTAAGAAATATCTGTAACTATGCAATGATTGGAAAATAACACTGAAATGACCAGAAACAGAAACGCACAAGTCATTGCAGAAAAGAATTACTGCTTAAAACTTTCTAAGCATAGTATCAAATGGAGAATTAACTGCTTCATTGGTCAAACTTAACTTGGAGCTCCAGCCTTCTTCTTTATGGTAACTTGTGAAATTAGCATATTACCATGTGTGGAAATCAATAAAAGTTACCATCAATTAACCAACTAGTCTTGAAGTAGTTATTGTTCATAGTGCCTTTTATTTGTATAAATTTGGGCCGCTCAGGTTGCGTCGTTTCCATGGCGCTGTGCTTGAGATGGTGGGCTGAACCAATACTGGCTCGTCTCAAATCCTGCCTACTATGGGTGAGGCTGAGGAACCTAAACACAACAAAAAAAAATAAATAAATAAAATTTGAAAAAACTGATCTCTGTTGCGATGCTGGTACTTACTCTATGTGTCTAGGCTTCTCGTTCGTGGTAGAAATACCTGTTTATTAGTGTTTTTTCTCGTCTTCACCGTCATCGAGAACAGCGTTCACATCACAAGCCTTATAAAGACTCGATTTATTTTTTTTTTATTTAATTGGCTTCTCTGATTGGTTGCTTGCTCATCAATATGCAAATATATGCAAAACTGGTGTGTAAGATCAATAAGTCCATGAGATTCTTGGCGTCTTGCATTCTGGGAAGGTTATTTGTGCTGCAGAAAATCCAGCTGAATGACGCTTCAGACTGAACTCAGACCAACAACCGGGAACTTTTCAGCATGGAATGAAGATCCAGAGGCCAAAATCCAGACCCAGTTTCCTGAAAGCATCACAGTGTTAACATGATCAGAGCTGTCAGAGCAAGTGAAAACAGTTAAACGTACCTCCAACATTTCATCAGTTACTACACAATCTATTCACCTCATTCACTCAGCAGGTTGACAACATAAAAACAATTGTGATGTTAAAAGTTTACTTCTAGCAATACTGTCATTTACTTAAAGATTATATATTCATAAATTGTCATTCATATAAAAAACATAAAAACCTTAATCAGGTAAACATCAAGGCACAACAAGCAGAGCAGAGAGCAGCCAAAAACTGATACCACCTAAAAACTACATTAGTACCTTAAAGAAAAACAGAGCTGCTACAAAAGCAGAGATCTATTATTTTTCTCTACTGGTCAAATTTCCTGAGATACTGAGGATAAGAATTGTCAATAAAAATAAATGAATAAATGGGAATGTAAATTAGAAATATCTAAAAAGTATCAGAAACGTTCTATGGGAATAAAAAGATCAAGCAAACAACCAAATCATAAACGGTCAGAAAAAGACAGCTGTACAACTTTTAGGAGTGTTTTCTCAAAACAGACACAAAGTCTTGTAAATTATGTCACTGTCACATTTCCAATGAAGCAGCACCAGCACAGTTACATTAATCAGCAAAATCTTCTGCTAATAATTCCTGACGGTAGACAGTTCTGGGCTGATAGTGGCTTTCACACATGAGTGTTGGTCAACTCCGGGGCAGATGTTAGGCATTCAGGCCAGAATAGGGCCAGATGCTGTAATGTTGAGTACAGCTTTGCCTTGGGTCTATATGTGTGGGCCAATTCTGGCATAAACGTTATGCACCAACAGTGTAGAGATTCTAAAGATTACAGTTGTTTCCATATCATTTTGTAAAGATTATAAGATTTTTGACTCAGATATCTGACATATATTTTAATGAGTAAGTTAATGAAAAAATAATAAATGTTATTGAATGTCCTGGTGACCTGAAATCTTCTCTGGCAATTTTAACCTGTTTTGAAGGCCACCAGCAGATGGCGCAGTTCTACACTGTCCCTCCTCAACACCAGCAGATGGCGCAGTTCCACACTGTCCCTCCTCACCACCAGCAGATGGCGCAGTTCTACACTGTCCCTCATCACCAGCAGCAGGTGAAGTTCATTACTAATTAAAGGCTTTTAGATTTAAGAGACGACGCTGAGTTTAAACCGTAAGATCTCCTTCAGCTGAAGCGAACTCAGCTTCGCTTACACAGCCCTCAGGTGGAGCTCTGACTGTGGATCAGTTCTAGTTTGGAGGACTGAACTCCTCTCCTCTTTATCTAGAACACCAACATGAGAACCACGGCACTAAAAAGATATTTGTGGTCAACTAAACTCCCCGAAGAGCGAAACGTGGACGAGTTTAGGTCTTTGCCTTTGTTTAGGTTTGCAGTCTCTCTCCAACAGTCTTAAACTATCACTCAGGTGAGAAGAAAGTCACTATAATCACTATAACAGAGCACTAAGAGCACCAGGACGGAAACTAGAACAGCACCACTTATTTTTTTTGCAATTAGCACTTTGTAAACACTTCACAAAAGTGATGTAGGAAGCTGATGCTAACATTATTAGCATGTGTGCTAGCAGTTAGAGAGTGTTCTTGTTAAGATTCTCCTCATTAACGTCAAAAACATTGGCAGTTAAGCCCTCCTGAGGTTTGTAAACGGAGCTCTGAGCTGATCTGGTCTTGCTGAAGACACTGTTTCTGTTTTGTTCTTGTACCTTTACATTTTCACACTGTTTACTAAAATAACAGCATCATTTCAGTTCATAATAATGTCTGATCAGCCTACCTGACCTTGGAGCCGTTCTTCTTCCTCCATTTTGAGTCACTCTCCTTCTAACAGGACACCTCATTGGCTGATCTGTTAACATTTCATTGGCTGATTGGTCCGTTATTAACACAGACCTCTTTGTCACCAGCAGATGGCGCAGTTCTAAACTGTCCCTCCTCATTACCACCAGATGGCGCAGTTCTACACTGTCCCTCCTCGTCACCAGCAGATGGCACAGTTCTGCACTGTCCCTCCTCATCATGTAACATAGATGATTATCATGGTGTAAACACTGAGCCAGTTTTAAAGACTTTGGGACGTAAAATTAATTAAATATTGAAAATGTTGTGCAAATAAACGTTAGCTTTCATAATTAAGTGCAATCAAGAAGCCAAAATCTGAACAGATTAATTTACAGTGACTCTTGTTTGTCATAAACTCCAAAAGTATTTTCAGAACCGCCTGGAGACTAAAGTCTTACCCAGAAACTGAAAGAATAATCAGAGGTTTTGTTTTATTCCACAGTTCGAGCAAAAATTCCACTGTTTCTTCTGAACTGCTAATAAAAAAAAATAAATAAAAAAAAACCTGTGACACACCTAATAAACTCACTGCTGCCTTCGATGGTACCTCCATCTCCACAACTGTGCTCATCATCGCCCTCCAGTGGTAGAAATAAATCACTGCATTACAGATTCAGAAAAATCAGTTTTTGTGTATTTTGTGTGGTTTTGTGTATTTTGTGTGGAGATAACATGCAGATACTAACGGTGGGACTTCATCCCAATTCTATTATATTTAAGCTATTTCCAATACATTTCCAGTGGATTGTACAAAGCAAAGCCTTTAAATAGTGGATTTATATGTTGTAACAGCAGTTTTCCATGCAGCCCGTCTCTCTCCTGAAGCCGTATCTGTCTTTTTAAAATTCTACTGTCCAAAACTCAGATCTGTACTAGACTGGAATGGATCAGAAATGGGATCATCTGATCTCTGCTTTGGTGTGAGATCAGACTAAACTAAAAGCACTACTGTCTAAGTCTGGGTCTCCCTAACTCTGGGTGTGAGTTTGGAGAAGATTGGACAAAGTCAAAAATGTCCTCTAAAAAAACTCAAAGGGGTCCCTCTGAGAGGATTTGTGGGTGAAAATGTTGACTTTCTCCGATCTTCTCCAAACTCAGACGGTGGGTTAGTGATGATCAGACGTAGACAGCTGCGCTCTTAGTACCATCCTAAAGTGTTCCAGAGCCGAGATCTGACTCTCCCATATCCAACACACTCCAGTGGAAAATATACAGGTTTCAGACGGTGGAGTTTTTCAGCTCCGACTGACTCAGTTCTTCCTGTTCTGACTCCTTCAGAATAAGAGTCCTTATCAGACTAACGCCGTGAATAAACGCTGCAGAACAGACAACCTGGAATTAACGACCCACGTTTCTTGATCAGGATACAGTACATTATAATTATAGAGTCTGAAAGATCTCCTGATTGAAGCGGCGGTAATGTTAATGATGAACAGCAGGGGGCGCACTCACACTGTTCGTCGTTCAGTTCCAACCGTACAAGACCAGAATCCACCCTCTTTAAAATGGGAGAGACTAAAAAACTCCAAACTGAGGGTCAAATTACCTTTTCAAAAACACATTTAAAGACACGATAAAATCTGACAAAACCTCATAAGAAGTTTGTAGCGTTTGGCTCAGTAACGCACAAAAAAACATCTTTTTTCAGCTCGTTCTGGCTACTGATCGCCACAACAAGGGGGAGGGCTCACAGCGCAACCAGCAAGCTGATTGGCTCTGCTTCTTGATGGGCGGGAGTTTCACCGTAAACAGACGCCATGTTGAGCGTTGCGAGTTTTCCATTCCCATTTCAATCAGTGGCCGGTCTCCTCAGTTATAACGGCTCGAAAAAAGCTGACATCTTTACAGCTGGACATTAGTTTACATCCGTCTTCTTGTCTGTCGGTCGTGTCCGCGTTCTCTGTTTCTCTGTGTGGACTTTCAGAATTAAAGACCCTTACCTTCTTTAAAGCAGCGCCACAGAAACGCTGGAGAGTGTTTCAGTGAGTCATGGAGTAGAGAAGAGAACAACTACAGCTACAACTACAACTACAATAGAATAAAGTAGAGCCCATTTCACTCATTTCTCTGCTCAGCTATCAATTTCTGCACGTACTCATTTTAATATTAAGCCACGCCCACAGACCCCCGCCCAATTCCACCAACTTTCCTAAATTTCTCCATAAGTTACTGGCTGATCTATATAAAATCATTCAGAGTGGTTTGGTGTGAAACGCCCTGTTCTACAGAAACTTACCGAGTCAGAACTGTTCACAGTGGTGGTGATAGGAACCAGACGTCCACCTCTAAAAGCTCCCTCACAGAGTTACTACATGAAATGCTTATGAATTCACTGCCTGATGACTGAGGCACTGTTTTATGATGGTTCTGAGATCAACATTTGGGCTACAATCTCCTTTTGAGTCCATTAATGGTGAAGGGATCCAGGTAAAGTAGGACCCAGTAAAGCTTATTATTTCAGATCTTCCATTATTTTACCATCATCCTCATCATCATTATCATCATCATTGTATATAAAACTCAGAAGATGTGTGGAGGTTCACTGGTGGTTTTGTGGACAAAGTTCTAGTATTATCTGTATAACAATAAGTAAGACTTCACAGTGACTGTGTTTTCATGAAGTTGTCATGTTATATTCAGTAACACTTCACTACAGTTACAGAATCACTCTGAAACATTCAGTACATATATTCAGATATACTTAGATACATTCAGTAGTAACAAGATAAAAACAGTCAACTAATAAAATGGTGATTATTAAACATGTCTTGGCTGATCAACTGTGCCTGGGGTCAGTGGGAAAGTACACGTTTTTCAGCCAACTGTCCGAGTAAAGCTCATCTGCCAGAAAGAGAAAATACAGAACTAAACACAAAACTGATGAGACCTTTTAATGAGTCACTTACAGTTACAAAATAAAGCAAAGGTTCAATTAGAAAGTCAACTACGGCTTGTGTTTCTGGGAACGCACCCCTCCCTTTCTGGTGCATAACGCGGCCGCTTCTTGACCACATCAGGAAAGACCATCAGCGTCAGTGATTTATGTTGCTGACACCTAAAAACAGACAATATTAATAAACCATTAATAACACAGTTTCAGATTATGTTCAACCACATCATCTTAGCCTGAAAGCAGTTCATTCAAATAGTAACCGGTTCACTAAACTGGGCCGGATTCATAAACCACACTGCGGAATTTATTATAATGTCGATGATGTGAATTACAAGTAGATTTTATTGCAAATTAACACCAACATGCGAATATAACCTCATTTAGTCAGAAAGTACATCTCCTGGTAAAAAGCCACTGTGCACTGATGGAGTTTCCTCATAGGCTACTGAAATGTAATTATTCATAACTGTGTTCACAGTTGATTACGTAATATATTTAAAACACACTGACTCATTTTGATCTGTTTAGATCAGGGTGTGAAACTCAACCACTAAAAGGGCCACATTAAAAAGCCTCAGTAAATTGGTGGGCCAGCTGTGTTTTTACTTAACATTTCTCAGTGATCCGAACGGACCACTGTTTATTCAACACATGCTGAAAGTGCAGCAGCAAAATAGCCACTGAACACTTATTCAGGAGTCAGTATGTTGCAGTGCATACTGGGGACTGTAGTGCATCTCAGGGTGAAACGGGCTAATAAGTACAGAAAAATAAAATCATTTCGCCGGCCGAATAGGACTGTGTCACAGGCCTGACTCGGCCTGCGCGCTTTGTGTTTGACACGTGGGGTTTAGAGCATGCATGTCTACTAGTTTAGAAGAAGAGTGGAAAAAACTGATGCTTCATCAACTCAGCACTAAGATTTAATATTCACATAAATAGCCTGTTGTTTTTGTCCAACCAAAACATCTGCAAAAACAGTTCAACCAAAACTTTTCAACAAGCACGACGGTGGCTGAGAAAGTCCAGCTTAATGCAGGTTCAAAAAGAGACGCAAACTCCAAAACACCTGGATCAAACTGACCACACCTGTACTACATTTACCAAACGCAGTGCACACTGAGAAAAGATGTAAATACTTAAAAGAGTTCAGTTAACATGACACCACATACATTACATTACATTACATTACACTGAATCATTCTTTTAAAAGATCTGAAGGAAATAAGAGAGGACGACAACTGTAAACACCCACCAAATATGCAGTCTTTCAAAGCCTGTCTTTGAACAGTCTCTCCTTTCATTTCCCAGCCCAGCTGAAATGACAGGTCTGCTTATAAGATAAGATAATCCTTTATTAGTCCCACAACAGGGAAACTCTCAGTGCTACAGCAGCAAAGGGAGAGCAAGGCACTCAAGAAAAGAGTAACAAGAAGAGAATGAACAAGCAAGTAATTAACCTTGGTTAACTAACAGTTGGTCAAGGCTGACCGCAAAATACGTCACATCATTTCCGGTGCAAACCTGGACACATACAAAAATAAACATTAGATTAAATAAGGTTTCTACTATGTTTGCAATAAACATGTACATACAGCTCGAAACACTGCTCAGCCAATGAGATTTCAGAATTGGTATAAAAATTTGCCTATAATATTACAGATATACGATACCTCTGATTGGCTAAGGGATGAGCTGGTGATGGAACTGAACAAACACACACTGGGAGGTGAAATCTGGACCCAAACTTGACATGAGACGTTCTGCTTTCTTTTTCCTGTTTTCATGTTTACCTGTATGTGTTCTAATTAATTAAATAATGTGCTTGGGTGCCTAAAATCTACTGAATGAATGGCTCAGTCTCCAACCACTCCATATTCTCTATCTAGTGAACTAATAAAAACAGCCTGTATGCCCAAATATTTCATTATATTAAAGCAGAAGGAAGACGACTACATCCAGCCACGGATAACAAGGCTCTCTGCTTAACAATTAAAGTTCCATTAACGTGTAGTTTTTTAATGACTTATGTTTCTTAGTGCACTTATGCAGGGTGTAGAAATTGATTCAGGACTCGGTCCAAAATATCTCGTCCTACCACAGAGCTCTTGGCGTCTTCAAGGTTTTTGCAGATAAAAAGCATCTGAAACAACAAACTCAGCCAAAATCTGCAACATGTCTGACCCTGACACTACAGTACACTATGCATCACATTTAATAGTACAGGGTGATTTAAAAAGATTAATCCCATTTCAAAGCACCGTATTTCTACAACTGTGAGTCACCTAGGAACCAATCACAATCCAACTGAAAGAGGCAGTCATAGTTTCTGACTGGCTCCCTTCAGTCTGCGAGGTGAAGCGACCCCTGAGCAGAAAGCGTTCTGCGTTCACCATTTCAATAAGAGTGAATCAGTCATAACTGTGCAGCGCGATTTATGTGGGCAGTGAAGCTCCAACAGCTCGGAGTGTTTGTCGTTGGTTCCACAACACCGGATGATCTCCGAAATCGCACTGAAAGAGCCGTGAGTGCAGCGACACCCGACATGCTCAATCGAGTATGGGATGAATCTGAATATGGCGTTGATGTTGTCCGTACAGCTGGAGGAGGTTCATACTGAGCACATATACAATTACATAATAAACTTTATGCTCACTAAACATTTACACTCTACTGCATTGTTCTGTAATGATTTACAAGTGAAATAAATCATTTTGAAATCAGATGAATCTTTCTGAATCACCCTGTATTTACCTATTCCTGTTAATAGAGGAGAGCGCACCTTCATGTACAAGCATCAATCACTATTTCACAGTTTTCTACTGCACTTAAGGTTGTTTGAGCTGAAATTGTGTTGTTTCAGATGCTTTTCATCTACCAAAACTTTAAAGAAGCCAAGAGCTTTTGGGCACGAGATATTTTGGACCGAGTCCCAATCACTACTAAACTTTAGTACACTA